AGTGGCTTTGGGACATGCCTGCCGGCGGCGTCCCGGCTACCCCTGGCCCAGCTACACGCCCCCGACCTCCCCCGGCTCGACCGGCCGGTCCCGGGGTATAGTGCCCCGCCCCTGCCCCTAGCCCCGTGGGCTGGGCGGCGGCCGGCGCCATCTGCACCCTCAACTGCCGGCGAGATTGCAGAGGGGCGCGCGGCGCAGTCCTCAATCCGACAGCCATTGGTGGCGGTTGCTGCATCATCCCGAAGGGTTGGGCGCCGAAGCCCAGAGCCCCACTACCAACGGCTACTTGGAACGGGTTAGGAACGGCCTGTCCCAAAAAGGTCGGCGTCGGCCCCATAGCGAGGGCGTTACCGACTTGACTACCGCTGGTGATACCCATAAGCTGCCGAACCTGTGCTACATCCGCTGAGTGCAACTCGTTGTTGACCCCGTGGGCTTTGCGAAGGAGAGCGGCGAACATTTTTAACACCGCCCCTGGCGCCCCTGCACCCATGGACGGCGTCATCGTATGGACGAGACGATCGCCCCTCGCGATGGCATCGTTGATTACTTGTTGTGTTTCGGCCTTTTCTCCCACGGCCCTCATGATGCTATGCACTTCCGTCAAGCTCGCCCGCAGGTCCTGCCTCGTATTCCTGTTGTTGGTATTGCGTGTAACTTGCGTGACGGTCAACAGCGCCGCGCGGACCTGGAACGGAATAGGTTGCACCGACTGTGTGCATCTGTGGTGACGCATAAGGCCTAACGTTGGCGAGAATCATGCGTACCGCACGGGTAATCGTAGGTTCGAAAGCACGGGGACTTCGTCGTTTCGAGGGGTGTCTACCCACCATTCGCAATAAACAACATATTCGCCTGATTGAGAGCGTAGCATCTGATTGAGAGCGAAAATAATAGACAACCAACGCGGGGACCGTTACTACGGTGATTTCGTTGTTTCGAGGAATGGCTCAACGGACCCGCATTCCCACTATTAGCAATAATAAACGAAGAACGCGTGATCGTGACTGCATGGATGTCGTCGAGGAAAGGCCTAACGAGCACACATCCCGATCACTCGCACCACGCGCGCAATCCGTAAATAAACGTCCTATCGCATAAGAGATCTATCCGTGTACGCACGTAAATAATTTGCCGTACTCGATAGTAACAGCAAACGCGTCACCTGTTACGGCGGTGACTTCGTCATTTCGAAGGATGGCCTCACGAGCATGCATCCCCACCCTTCGCAATAATTAGCCTCAAGCGCGTTGACCGTTACTGCGGTGGTTTCGTCGTTTTGAGGGATAGCTTAACGAGCACGCATCCCGACCACTCGCAATAGGCGCGCAATCCGTAAAATAAACGTCATATCGCGTAAGAGATATACGGACGTCGTGTACGTACGTAAATATTTTTGCTGTACGAGCGCGTCACCCGATACGGCGGTGATTTCGTCATTTCGAAGGATGGCCTCACGAGCACGCATCCCAACCACACGCAATAGGCGGGCAATCCGTAAAATAAACGTCATATCGCGTAAGAGATATACGGACGTCGTGTACGTACGTAAATATTTTTGCTGTACGAGCGCGTCACCCGATACGGCGGTGATTTCGTCATTTCGAAGGATGGCCTCACGAGCACGCATCCCAACCACACGCAATAGGCGGGCAATCCGTAAAATAAACGTCATATCGCGTAAGAGATATACGGACGTCGTGTACGTACGTAAATATTTTTGCTGTACGAGCGCGTCACCCGATACGGCGGTGATTTCGTCATTTCGAAGGATGGCCTCACGAGCACGCATCCTCACCATTCGCAATAATTAGCCACAATCGCGTTGACCGTTACTGCGGTGGTTTCGTTGTTTCGAGGGATTGCCTAACGAGCACGCATCCTAACCACTCGCAGGAGACGCGCAATCCGTAAGTAAACGTCATATCGCGTAAGAGATCTAAACGGACTCCGTGTACGTACGTAAATAATTTGCCGTCCTCGATAGTAACAGCAAACGCGTCACCCGTTACGGCGGTGATTTCGTCATTTCGAAGGATGGCCTCACGGGCACGCATCCCCACGATTGGCAATAATTAGCCACAAGCGCGTTGACCGTTACTGCCGTAGTTTCGTCGTTTCGAAGGATGGCCTAACGAGCACGCATCCCAACCACTCGCAATAGGCGCGCAATCCGTAAAATTTTTTTGGCTCCCGCTCTCGATCGTATACTCCGCTCTCAATCAGGCGAAAACCCTGTTGAAAGAGATCGACGGACGTCGTGTACATACGTAAGTAATTTGCTGTACAAACGCGTCACCCGTTACGGCGGTAATTTCGTCATTTCGAAGGATGGCCTCACGGTCACGCATCCCCACCATTCGCAAGAATTAGCCACAAGCGCGTTCACCGTTACTGCGGTGGTTTCATTGTTTCGAAGGATGGCCGAACGAGCACGCATCCCAACACTCCCAGTAGGCGCGCAATCAGTAAATAAACAAACGTCATATTGCGGAAGAGATCTACGGACGTCGTGTACGTACGTAAAAAATTTGCTGTACAAACGCGTCACCCGTTACTACGGTGATTTCGTCATTTCGAAGGATGGTCTCACGAGCACGCATCCCCATCATTCGTAATGATTAGCCACAAGCGCGTTAACCGTTACTTACTGCGGTCGTATCGTTGTTTCGAGGGATGGCCCAACGAGCATGCATCCCAACCACTCGCAATAGGTGCGTACTCCGTAAATAGACGTCATATCGCGTAAGAGATCGACGGACGTCGTCGTGTTCGTACGTATTGTAAATAATTTTCTGAACGTAAATAATTTCCGTTAGTATGTTCCAAACTGGCACCGTAACTCATCACCTGCATAATACATACGCGGTGTGCTTGAATCAATACCATCTGCTTCAAGTTTCCGAGCTATCACCCAACGATTAACTCGCAAAGTAATGTAAAACGGAAACAGGTGCAATTGCGTAAAGCAAACGGAAACAGGTACAAACGGAAATGATTTAACGGAAATAGTAGCATATAATTTCGAGCGACGAAGGACGTACTTACCTTCACAATCGATGTGCATGCGTAAAATTATTGTGGCACGGAAGCAGTTTCAGCTGCGAGCGGCGAAGAGGAAACGCAAAAAAAAAAATTCCTGTTCGTCTTACGAGTATCGTTATCAACGCCGGCGCTCACCTCCTGGTCGAATTCGGTCGAATTGAGGAGAGCCATGTACTCCGCGTTCGTTGCTAGCATAACCTTATGGTTCGCGGCTTTCTGCTGCTGTGGCGTTGTGGAGATCGATGCCGAGGCTGCTGCAGCGGCCGCTGCTGCCGCTGATACGGATTCCGATTGGTCCGCAAGAGCTGCCGCAGGGGCAGGTGCAGCTGGCGCTCCCGTTGTCGGTAGGACAGGTGTTTTCGCCGGGACCGACGCTGCAGGTGCCAGTGCCGGAGCCGGCGTCGGCGCCGGTGCGGCCGCTCCAACTCTCCTCGCGGGCGCCTTGCCTGACGAAGGCGCGGCTGGTAGCACAATGCATCCCGCCGTCTCCTTGACATGTTCGCGCATCAAATCGATAATCTCGCCCATAAACGCCCGAGCTCCGATCACCTGCTTGGCCGCCAACGAGCCCGTCGCCCCTTTCTCCTGAACGTCCGCGCTGCGGAAGAAGTCGGTCACCTCCATGGCTGTACCTACACCCAGCGCGGTCACGAGGGGCAGGGCCATAGCGAACATGCCGGCGCGGTCCTCGCCCTCGATAGAGGCCCCAGCCGGCGTGCACACCCGCGCGAGGTTAAGAACCGGCTACGAGCCGATCTTTGTGCTGCTGTCGTAGCAGGCGAATTCCTTGACGGCCTTCGCCGAGTCGACGGCCGTGGCCGCGGCCAGCTGAGCTTCGGTCAGCTGCATGGTAGTATGCTGTTCTTCCTACCGTACTCTCCCTCCGTTAGGGTTGGGAAGGCTTGTCACGAGTGGGTGCTCGCTCCAAGCTTCTCTGCAGGCAATATGTTCTCATCTGCAGAACCCCTTCACGGTTCCATGATTTCGACATTATTTTACCGCGGTCTTCGGCGCTCGGGTGGATAAAAATGATCGAAATCAAATCGAATTCCGATGTTCGCAAATCCGTCATGTCCGCTGTGATTTCATTTGGAGCGCACATATCGGAGTCTTCGCACAGGGTGTGCGTTCAAAGCACCCCACCTTACCCACCTTCAATTTCATTCAATACCGCACATATCGGCGTCATCGCACGGGGTGTGCGATAATACTGCTGTACAACCAAATCATTTAATTCGATTTCCGCACATGTATCGGGGTCTCCGCACATACTGCATACGGTGTCTCCGCACCCCTGTGCGAAGAATGAAGACATTTAAATAGGCGACCGCACAGTGTGCGAAGACCCCGATTCTTGCGGTAGCCTAGACTATAATTAAATGTAGATTTACCTATACAGATGTTAAGTCCAGTACCCAGCCGGTTTTCCTCCACTTACTGAAAAGACTCCATATCCCGTTCGACTGTGGGTATATCTCGAATGGGTAGTCTTTCTGTGCTTGCTTGTATATATTTTTCCTTAATTAAATAGTAGTCTAGCCAAGTCCAGGAGGACCGTCGAACCGACATGATCTTACAGCCAGGAGGTCTGGCCTTCGGTTGCGACCGCCTCCCAAACTGTATCATCGGTGCTTTCATAATCAGGAGGTCTGGCCTAAGGTTGTGGCTGCCCCCCAACCTGTATCATCGGTGCTTGCACAACTAAGAGGAGTGACCTAGAGCGTTGTATGCTTTTGTAGGTTGCTGGTTATGGCGGCCCACCACCAGTCCACCGCGGCGAAATGCCAGGGTTATACCGCAACCAGCCTCTGTACTCACTCGCCTGTGCGTCACCCCTGAACTTTCCTGCGTTGACGCGCAGTCCTGATAGTGCGTGCGCTATTCTTGTTCGAGAGAGGAGCGCGAAGCAATGAAGCAGTAGGCGACGCGTGCGCATGCAACTGCAAAGTTACGTTTGGATTTGATACAAGAAAAAAATGTCTGATGTTGCACGACAACTTGTTCCTGGGGGATAATTCTCTCGCCTTGCTGGCGACCATGTCCAACCACGTAGTAACCGCATCACACGAAAATTTTAGTCGAACTTTCTTACGCGGGTAAGAACGCAGCAGAAACTTCTCGCGGTGTGTAGCACACTGCTGCTGTGAAGCAGCAACTACTACGGCCATGACACAGCGCAGCAGCACGACTACTGCTGTGTAGCAGTAACAGTGTAGGCAGGGTCCGGAGATAAGACACATCGATGGTTTGGGTAGAGATATCAAGGCTCAATTTCTCCGTGTTTCGTGACACCTAGACTACTTTTGTATGCATACGCGTTCTCGGCGGACCTGAACATTATGTTCTTGATGACTACAAGGAAGCATACGACTTGGGAGCACCCTTTTCAAAATCGAAAATTTGCTTGTGTCTGAACGCATGTGGTGGATAAAACTGCCCACAGGAACAGCGGCGATGGACTGAACGTGTCGCGTATATAAAATGAGATCGTTTTTATGTACAGCACTACTGTACACAGAGATCCTCACACTACCTTCTTCTGCTGTACTGCTACGACGGAACAAGGACGAATGTTTCGAATTGTCTACAACTACATCCCGCCACGTTGGAGAAAGTGGTAGGCTTGGGTTACTGGAACCGGCGCCAGAGGCCGGGTGCAGCGGCGGCAATCAGCCAGACAGCCGTGGAACTTCCCATTGCCGCAGCGGAAGCGGCGGAAAACACGTTGTTGGCCGCGTCCGCGTCTGCATCAGAGTCTTCTTCATCTTCCTCGTCGCCTCCAACGGGGAAAGGGATGGTGTCGCTTGTGTCGTCGCTGTCGTCAGCGGCGGCACCATTGGTGTCGGTGGTAGTATCGCTGGCGGTACCATCGGTGTCGGTGGTAGTATGGCTGGCGGTACCATCGGTATCGGTGGTAGTATCGCTGGCGGTACCATCGGTGTCGGTGGTAGTATCGCTGGCGGTACCATCGGTATCGGTGGTAGTATCGCTGGCGGAACCATCGGTGTCGGTGGTAGTATCGCTGGCGGTACCATCGGTATCGGTGGTAGTATCGCTGGCGGAACCATCGGTGTCGGTGGTAGTATCGCTGGCGGTACCATCGGTATCGGTGGTAGTATCGCTGGCGGAACCATCGGTGTCGGTGGTAGTATCGCTGGCGGTACCATCGGTATCGGTGGTAGTATCGCTGGCGGAACCATCGGTGTCGGTGGTAGTATCGCTGGCGGTACCATCGGTATCGGTGGTAGTATCGCTGGCGGAACCATCGGTGTCGGTGGTAGTATCGCTGGCGGTACCATCGGTTTCGGTGGTAGTATCGCTGGCGGTACCATCGGTGTAGGTGGTGGTGCCGGAGCCGGAAATGGCCCTGCTGCCGTCCGCTGCGCAATCTCCAATATCGATGGAGCATGTAGATTCCGCATTGATGCAGGCTGGCCGGTGGACAAGTAGCGCGAGTGTCGTGAAGGAGGAAAACGGCATACGTCATACAGTTGCAACATCATGGTGTTCGCGCAACGGTTGTCGACATACCGAGACATGAGTAAAACGCCAGCACTGCTACGGAGGGTAACTGGCATCCATTTCTGGCCCGCTCCGATCTATGCCGGCCGCAGGTTACATAGCAATGAAACGTTACAATCATGCAAACACGTGGAAGGCTCTACAAGGTTAAGGTGTCACGCATTTCATATGCATGTAACAACATATTCGCACGATTGAGAGCGAAGTATCTGACTGAGACCGAGATCGTGCGATACGATGTAGCTTGTCTACTGCTGAGAGGTAGAGCTTGCTGTGCGGCTTGAATTGTAGGGCTTGCCCATTGCTACAAGGCGATACCCGGGTCATCCTGCGGGTGTCTCGCGTTGTGGAGTTACACCGCGGAGCAGAAGCTACGGGAGGGCCTACCGCGCCAGGCGACGGCGCCCTGAAACAGTTTCGGGCAGGAAAAGCCAGTCTGGGGAAATCTAGCAACGTGCGTAGCTCCTCGCTGCTGCAGCCGATCGCAGTGACACGCATATGCACGCGAAGCTGCTGAAGAGAGCTTCACTTTGCGCCGCTTTTTGGAAGAGCCCGTCCCCTGCTTCCCGAGAAATGACGGGAGGCGTCTGGACCCAAATTTCGAAATTTTTTGGTTCTCGCTCTCAATCGGAAACTTCGCTCTCAGTCGTGCGAAAACTGTTATGTGCCGTCTCTGTCCGAGAGATTTCCGAGACACAAACCGACCAACCAGGAACACACCTAAGAGATCGTTGAGCGCTTCGTTGTCCTCACAACCATCCACCGCACAGCAAACAGCTTCTTCAACATCGTCGCACGTGGAGCCAGTCGCTGATTCAAAGCATCCCTCTACGGCGTCAACATACGATTGGGTGCANCGCAAACACGTCGAAGGCTCCACAAGGTTAAGGTGTCACGCATTTGATATGCATGCGCGGTCTCTCTCCGAGAGATTTCCGAGACACAAACCGACCAACCAGGAACACACCTAAGAGATCGTTGAGCGCTTCGTTGTCCTCACAACCATCCACCGCACAGCAAACAGCTTCTTCAACATCGTCGCACGTGGAGCCAGTCGCTGATTCAAAGCATCCCTCTACGGCGTCAACATACGATTGGGTGCACGTCACGCACTCCGAATCCGCGTTACAAGCCGAGATTTCAGTGGGGCAGTCTGTTTCGGTTGTGGATGTGGAGTCCGTCGTGGTGTCGGAGCCGGAAATAGCCGTGCTGCCGCCTCCTGCACAATCACCAATGTCGATGACTCCGCAACCAAGGTCCCCATTAATGCAGCCTGCCCGACGAAATACCCAGCGGGGTGGAAGGTTAACGTGAGAAAGGTGCACCGCACGAGTCATCAACTGTACGTCGCGACCCATCTTGCTGAAGAACACGAAAAAACCGTCTATACCACTCATTGCTTGTCACTGAAGCCGTTACACAGAAGAACAGAGAAAATATCACCGAAAAATCGCGAGGTGGCTTCAAACCAATGCTGCTGCGTAGAAACGATGCAAGTTTGAACATATTTATCTACTCTGATCACGAAGTTCTCGTTGCCGTAAACACGGAGGAGAGGAAATTGTCGTGCACGTACCCATGATGTCGGCAAATTCCTCGTTGTCCTCGCAGCCTTCCGCCGCACAGCACATGGCTTCGGCAAGGTCATCGCACGTGAAAGTGCTGGTCAACGAAGCCGCGCAACCTGAAAAAGCAGCCATGTAGGCGTCGTTGCAAGCCAGGCAACTGGCAGACGCAACGCAGGCTGCATCTTCCGCGGGACAGGCATCTCCATCGGTGTAGGTGGTGGTGAACAAGTTTCGCATCATGTGCATCATCGGGTCAACAGAGCCTGCGGCACCCGCCTTGGCCACGAACCCCCCGACGAGAAGAAGCGTCGTGCCGACTGTTCCGACATGTTCTCCCAGCATGGTGCTTGCTCTTCTCCTGCCCAAACTGAAACCGGGCACGAAGGAGGCCGGAAAACGACGGGATTAGAAGGCAGAGGTGTGTCAGGAACATGAAAGGGCCTCACCAAGCTTCTATCGCAAGTTGTTGACGGTGCCATAACTTTTCTCGCGTACAGCCGAATTTTATCAACGAACTACATGTAGCTGCTCTGTTGCCGGTACAAGTGGCTACCACCACCCGTACGTGGTGCCCTTGGGGCACCGGGGATTGCTTGGAATCCTTACGCTAGGTCGCCACATTTGCAAACGAAGGGAAGCCAATGAGCAACGTCAAGATAAAACTATTAACATTTCGGGTGTCATGCCTCGTCTCAGCGGCGCCGGTCGCCCCGCGGGGGTCAAGCTGGTAACGATCACGTGCCACCGTTGAACCTCTTGGAGTGTTGGCGTGAGTTGGGTTTTCGGGGCAGGCACGCAAAATACTCAGCATGTGCCTTTGATGTGCCCGAGAAATGAAAAATAATGTGCTTTGTGGATCACTGCAACATAATGACGTAGTGATCGACAAAAAGGGGACAGGCCAAGGGTACTGGGAAGAAACTATGTAGATTGGCTTTCGTCTATGTACTGTAGTTTGACTTCCGTCTAATGTGACCCCGATTGATGGTGAGTCCAAACGTAAATGATGAACTGATGCTAGAAGGAGATGGAGAGACAACATTGTGGCGAACTACCGTAGAAGCCCACCGTTGCTTGTACGTCGCCAGGGAAACAGTCTTATGAAATTCTTGCGTTGGTACTCGCACCTGTTTGGGAGTACAGTCAAGAGGGGGTGTATGGGTGCCCTCTACTTTGAGTGAGCGGAGAGTCCGGGGTTGTGGTGGTCATGTCCTGCCACCGGAGGTTGGCTATTTCCTTTGGTGCAATGTGGCGAGGAATGCCAAGCGTGACCGAGCGAAGTCAGTCAAGCTAGGGTGGTGCGGAGAGTGGGCGAGCCTTCGTGGACTTCTTTCCCCATTTTCCTAAAGATCCATCAACTCTTCCCAGCCGTTAGGGTCATAAGAGTCGGGGACCCTCGGAGAACAGTAATCTATTATCACTCATCCGCTCAGATCCTACTTTTTATGTACGTGTATCTGTGCTCCCTGAATCTCCATTTCCTGACCTCCACATAGCCCCCCTTTTTCTTCGCCGAAAGCTCAGCTTGTTGAAGTTGGGTTTTGGCGTACATGCATGTTTGCATGTTTCTTGTAGTGGAGCAGGTATGGATGTATCATTGGATCCAGATACAGCTCTTCGAAAATTAAATCTCTCCCTCACTATCCGGAGCCTGGTCCGGTGAGAACCCGGCGTGCTCCGTCCCGGCTTTGTAGGGATGCGAGGNAACAACACCGTACGGATTCAATCTCTCCAAAGCTCGTACAAGCTACCATGTAATGATATCAATGATGTGTCAAAGCTTATTCTTGTTAAGTATCAAGAATTTGTACTTTGTGCGGGTTCTGGTTCGCGTAACCATACCGCTGGGTGTAAGCAATCGTGTTGCTTATTAAGTACGATAGGCATACGGTGTTCGACAGTCTAAACACTGTTTCCGTGACTCATGGATAGTGTCATCGAGTTGCGACCCTCAATTCCACGTGCGACCGGTTAACTTGACATTTCCTCGCCAGCATTTGGCCCAACCAAATGCTGGATAGCAACCTTATTGTTCGGATGCTATTCCTTTCAGCATTTAGATACTTTGGAAATGTATCTTTTGTTTGCCTTCGGACTTTGTTTACTTTTCTGCTGAGTACGTTTCTTATTCACGCATTTTGCTGGCTTGGGACACAACGTGTCTAGCATTGGTTTGTGTTTTGCGCGTTTTTTTGTGCTCGGATCCCTACCTTCGTCGCGTTTTCGTTTCGCTTTTTTCTGCGGCACTTCGGACGATTTCTTGGCGGGCGCGATGTCCAGGTCACGTGTTTTGATCTGTACGCGGAAATCATTCCGTGGCATTGCGGCACTTCGTCGGCACGATACATCAGATCTGATTCAGGACCGTATCCTTTCAGTCTTAGACGATATCGATAGTTGTGCGGACCTTTTCGGCCTTGACCGCTTCGATGCCCTACCACTTTCAACACGACGTTTCTTTCTATTTTCGGTTGATTTTCGTCGTTTGCTTTCAGGGCAGGTAAGGGAATTTGTTTCCCAAGGAAATGTTGCGCCAGTTTTCCAAACTGTGGTGCTGGTGGATTTTCCCTTTCATGGTACTGTTTTAGATGGGCAAGATGCACGGATATTTTTCGTGTTTCATCGACTCGCTTCACCCACAACTGGCGACAGTTGTGAGCAAATGGTATATGGTCCTCGCCACGGCATCGACAGCTTCGGATTTGGTCCATCTATATCCTGGTGTGATCGGCACACGAGTACCTGTTGACCAGGTTTAAAGACGGGGTACTGCGGTAACTTTTCGTTTCTCGCAGCTTGCTTCTCTCACGTTCCGTGAGGTTTCTTCGCGCTAGTTCGAAAGCAGTTTGTAGATTTCTCGTGTTTTTTTAGCAAAACTCTCGGTATCTGCAGTTGATCCTACATGTGGGATTCCGAGAATTACATCTACCGGTAACCGTGCTTGGCGACCAAACATCAAGAAGTACGGTGTCTCATGCATGGTTTTATTAAACGACGTATTATACGCTAGTTGAACCATGGGCAGGAGATCCGCCCAGTTGTCACGATTCATGGAGCTATGCATTGCGAGCATGCAATGCATCATGGAATGCACACGCTCAGAGACAGAACTACCTTGCCGACGATGCGGCGTCGTGCGTGTTTTCTTGTAGCCCAATATTGTTTGCAACTGATAGATTTTCTTGTTTTCGAATGCCGTGCCTTGATCAGAGTGCAGCATTTCAGGCGGGCCAAAGATACTGATAATCCGATCAATGATTACACGTGCTACCGTTTAACTTGCTTCTCCCTTCTTCCCCTCGCTCCTCGACAAGCTTTTGCTTAGACATGGGTTGTAGTGAAGGGGGGGGTCTTTCTGGCGAGCAGGGCTAGACTCACCCTCAAGGGATGACCGAAACCTTCTTGCTGCTGCGCATATCCGCCGCGAGGCATGCGCGTGGTGGTGTAGTTGGGTCGGCACTGATGGGGTCAGGC